ATCGTCCCAGCGCGCGTCTCTTCAGTCTTTAGCTCTACAGTTGTTTGAGGTCCCTTTGGCATTTTCTCTTCATAGACGGCCCACTTGGCGAATGTTCACTTATTTCTGCAACATCACCTAGGCTTTTTGTCGCGGACCGTGCCTTTAATATGTCATTCACGGGCTCTGGATCGCAAGAACGCGAATGTATCACGAGCTGTAGTTATTGATGGTAGCGCATGTTCAATGCCCAAAGTACTCAGCTCAGTTTGCGCTTTTTGCCATCTTTTTTTGTTCTCATCAGTTGACCATGATTTCATTTTGTCACGCGCTCCTTGCATTCTTTCCTGTCGGACTTGAAATTACGCTCAGTCGAACAAGAGCTACTCTTCTATGAAGCCGATTCGTCGATGCTCCAAGCATTGGGGTTATGCTGTGCCCTGATCACAAATATGGCTCCCATTTATGCACCAGCTTCATTTTGCGACCAATTCTTTTCGACGAATTCGCTACAAACTGCACTATTGGTGATCAGTGCCGAAGTGCTACTATTCACGAATGTTCGGCATTTTTTTCAAGACTTTGTAGTCGTAATAGTGTACTTGTGCCAAAATGATCAACATTTCACCATCATCTATCCTCGAGAAAAGATGAAATTGAATCTTAAAAACTGAAAGATAAAAGGAGATAGGGAGGAGGGGTTAATCATTGCTTTTTGAGATGAGCCATGCGTTCTTGTTCAATATGAAATCGTACTTACTCTTGGATGAAGTTTGCTTCAAATGAAATGAAATGAAATTACTATTAGGTTAGCTAATGTGAAATACACACTAGCTGATATTGTAATACCAATGGCTGCTCATACCAATGGCTTGTCAGGGCGCAGTTTGGCCTGGAGGGGACACGGAATGGTGCTCACCCAATCCTGTACAGGCCACTTTGTGAAGACTTGTGACGGAAGGGGCTCACTCAAACGATTCCGCAGCTTCACAGCAGTTTACAGGTGCAACCAAACCAAGCCGAACAACGCCCTTGTTTGCATTAATGATTGGTTACAAAATCCTTGGCTGATCAATTACTAGAGGGAGGATTTGGGAAAGAGGTGTAGTTTCGATTTCTACTTGAACTCAGTTGTGCGAAACAGTGTTTCTGCCCTCACACATGAGTCCAGTACCCTATTCTCGGCCCCTGGAGCTGAATGATAAGGCACGGATGGCTCAGGCGAGGGGCGATCCGGGAATCGGCATCCGAGTCGCAAGCTTGAAGAGCGGCTCCACTTTCCGTTGCTCCATTTTTGCCAGAGTAACTAAAGGAGAACGTTATAAAAATTGAAATGAATCCAGCTCCCTC